CACTGCTCCCATAGCTGTTCTTTGTCTGGAGGTAATGGAGCATCCCAATCATTCTTTTCCGTTGAGAGTTCTCGAAGTAAGGTCTTACCTCGTATGGTGACAGGTGCTACAAAACCCAAGGGTCAAACAAGCTGTTTACTGATGACAGTACTCCTCGGCAAGTGAGGGGCTTCTTTTCCTCTGCCACCTGAAAAATGAAAGTGTCAGTCTTCAAATCCCAACAGAGTCCAAGGCTGTGCTGTATGGGTAGAGAGTCGAGACCGAGATCCAGATCTTTTTGGTCATTGGTGTGATCCTCGGTGGGGAATGCCTCTATGACTTCTCTGCTGTTTGAGGCTATTTTATGTAGCCTCAGGTTAGAACAAGCCAGCATGTTCTGCGTTCTTCTGAGTAAGTCAATAGCGGCCTCCGTTGTGGGCAGGGACTTAAGTCCATTCAGCCTCTCTGAACAAAGTCCTTTGCATCCTTGCCAAACTCTTCTCCCCGTCCTCAGTAGCTCGTCTGAGACAGTGAATGGCAACTGCTGGCGATGTGGTGTTTCCAAAGACATGCACTTATATGCGATACTCCATGATGTCATTTTCCAGGTTGTTGTCTGCACATCAAAGAAATCTCAACAAGTTTCTGTCTTCTGGCTTGACGACAAAACAGTGGTACATCTGTTGTATGTCCACCGTGACTGCAATGGAGTCTTTACGAAAACGGGTAAGTACCCCAAGAAGACTGATGTTGAGGTCAGGGCCAGTCAACAAGACCTGATTCAGTGAGACTCCCTTATGTTGAGCACTTGAATCAAAAACCACCCGGCACGGTTTCTTTGGATGATAAACCCCAAAACACAGAAGATACCAACATTTCTCATCTTTTCCAAGGGGAGGCCCTACTTCTGCGTGGCCATTCTGGAATTACCTTTCCATAAATTAGATGAAATGGTCCCTCATCTCAGGCTTCTTGTTAAAAGAGAGACGCAGTGAAAACAGACGGTCTGCTGCTTGTGACCTGTTGTTGTGACGTCGAGGTCATGGCTCTCTGAATGGCAGGGGAGCTACCCAGCTGTTGTCTTCGTCTTTATAGGTTCCCTGTTCCATTGTCTTCAGAAAGAGTATATCCTCCACTGAAGGGCCAATCTTTTCATCATCTTTTGTCTGTTGAAAGACACTTGCTTCCATACCACTTTTCCTTAACAACGTAGCAATTAGGGCATGGTTCAAAGAGTGGGGACCATTTTCCAGAGTGTTGGTATAGTATGTGCTCACAATGGCCGGCTTGTGGACGTTTCCAAGACAGACGTTACCAACAATTACCCATCCCAAGTCTAGTTTTTGAGCATAAGGGGAGTCATGTGGCCCATTTATCTGTTTCTGTATTTGTGGACCCTAATGATGTCTCTGCCCAGCAGGATCATAATTGGAGCCTTAGGGTCGAGCTCTGGGATCTTCTGCGCCAAAGGTTAAAGATGTGCATGATGCAGTGCTGCATTTGGTGTAGGGATTTCAGAGCGATTATTCAGAATCGCGTTACACTCAATAAGTGTTGGTACAGAGAGGATAACCTTCCCATCCATGGAGTCCACCTGAAAGCCATGCGCTCGTCTGCCGTTGTCTCAGCAACACCAGCACACGTCTTGAGCGGGTAAGGAGAGTTGTGGCCTTTGATGTGGAAAAGGTCAAAGAACTCAGACCTCACCAACGAGCGATTGCTCTGATCATCCAATATTGCATATAATCAGATTGCCTTTCCCTGCTGACCTGCTGGGTAAACTTTCATGAGGTAAATCTTTGAGCATGATTTTACAGTGAAGTCTCCCCCACAGACCTGCGTGCAGGTTGAGGAAACAGCAGCTTCTTCAATATTGTTCCCTTCCTCCCCGCCATGCTCACGCACAGGAGTTTGGGCCTTGGAGCACCATGGCTGAGGTGTGAACTTCATTTCCAAGTAATGCTGCTGTCACAATTTTTGGCTAGATGCGCAGATGATGCACAGCATTTATAACTGATGCCATGTTGCTTTAACAGGGCTTTCCTATTCTCGATAGACATCTGCCTAAATCCCCGGCATTTTTGGAGGGGGTGTGGAGGATCCACTTTACTCTTGTTGTGTGACTTTCCTGAAAGAGGCCTTTGAGAGCTTGAAGGTTGCAGACCCTGTGACACTTACAATCAGGTTGGTCAATACTGTACATGAATTAGATTAGGGCAGTGTCTGAATAAACACAGTAGGCATACATTAACATTTAAATAATGCTCCTTATCTGATAATTTTTGTTAAAGTTAAAAGAAGATGCTCTATATAAGGCACTCTTTCAACACTATCTTAACAATTTGCCAGTACAGCTGTAATGTGGTTAAAATCTGTCAAAATGTTTTCAAAGGCTCCGCCTGGCAATAGATAAAAGAGATCACAATTGTAAAAACTTGAACTCTATAAAATAAAAGGATGTCAAAAGAAATGAGTTTGAGTGCTGAGGACAGAGAATAACTGCATGTTACAGTAAAGGGGAAATACAGCTAGTGCTTACTTTTATAAAGTTATCCCATTACTGTCAACAGGCTTATGGGTCAATGAGCATATTTGAAATGGCAATACAATAAAGTGCTGGCAACTGAGTGCTTTGTACAGCATCCTGATAGGAGAGAATGCATTTGGATATGTGTGTTTTGGTTTGTCCTTGTGTGTGTCTATTTCAGATGTTCCATTTCATTCGACAGATCACTTCATAACTAACCACTTAAAACCAGTAACGTTTATTGTGGCAGCGACCTCTAGTGGCCATACAATGCAAACACATGACAAAGACAGTCACGTATTATAAATAGCCATGAAGTGGTATTATGGTAGGTGGCTGGGTGGAAGGATAGTAAGTTAGTTGCTTTTCAACCAGGAGGCCGGCGTTCAGAGACTGTGTGAAACAAAATTGATTTGTTTTATTTAATAAAGTCAACTAACATTAGCTATGTTAGCTTTGTAGCATTAGCATGCTTAGCTAGACAATTACTTTAGTGTTAAAGGCGTTAACAGCCCCGCGTAGCCTCTAACCCTTACCTTCACAGGGGTGTGTGCCTAAACATAAGTCACTTACTGTATGCATTGTTGACTTGTGAACCTGACAGCTGTGCAGATCGGCCGTGAGGTCCTTTCTTTTGCTGCGGTCTCCACGTGTTTATGTGATGATGGTCACATGATGCACATGATATGTGCTGTATACCCAATATTCACCCAGACCATTAAAAAACTCCACTGCCACTGAACACAATCCAGACACCAATTACATTTTACTTTGTGGTAAAATACACAAGTAGTATATAAATATAATTTCTAGGAGACATATTTGGTATCATCTGCTCCTCTGAGCTTCTTAATAGGAAAAGGTGATTACTGAAGCTATGCTATTAACAAAGACTTTACCATATTTTCTACACCAGTGTGTCAAAACATTTACCCTATGTCAGTGAGGCAACTGCTTCCCCAATAACTACACACATCATAGAGCGAACACTAGGGAAATGGCAAATATCTAATGATCTAAAGAACATCATTGATTATCCCTCTAATTTGCTCAGATGGTCTCCATATACTTGTATAGTATATTAGGTTGTATGACTATGTGTCAGTAGAGCCTAAAAGTTCTCAGAAGCAAAATTGGTATCCACATTTGTTAAAATAATAATAATTGTTTTAGTAAAAGCTAAATCTATTAGATATTTAAAATGTTTTGTCTACAAATTCTAATTGTGTCAGCACACCTCTAAATGCAACAAAATATTAAAAGTGAATTAAAATCATGTGAAATAATGTGGAGTCAGTAACATAAAGTTATTTAGGTTGAAATAGGGAGGCAAGTGTTTTAATTTCTCTTGAAGACACACAGTTTAAAGTAAATAGACTTCAGTTAGAAACATAAAAGCGATACAAATTACACAATCAGAAAAACACAAGAGATTATCTTTAAAAACAATATTATTTTATTTTGTATTTTATAGGTATTGTTATATACATGGCATAATTTGTGCTTTTTTATTATCAAGAATAAAACCATAAGGGAACACATCTGAAAATTAAACTTTAAACCAGAATTGAATTGTTCTTTTTTCAGCTGGATATACTGAGAGTTCTACAAAACCAGGAGAGAAGGGGAGGAAAAGACAGAAAACTAAATAGATAGATAGGTAGATTCATAAATAGATAGTTTTTCCAGAGACACTTGCAGATGGTCCACTGAGGGTAGTGTGAACGTTCAGACTGTGATGTGCTTTTACCAACAGCAGCAAAGGCACCTGTGTATCACTTTGTTTTAAAAAAAAGTATGCCTCAGGGCCTTAATCCAGTTGAGTCCATACACACACAAAAAAAAATCCATCCATAATTTCTTCCAGGGGGACTTCTGCCAAACAAATTTGCTGATTTCCTACGATTCCAGCCATCTCAGAGGTTGGGCGCTAGGTTAGCCAGCTAGACGTCATTCACACTGATCCCCCCATCTGAGAATGATTGAATATATAAAAAAATACCCCCAAAATAATATTTTGGACCTTCTTGATTTTTCTTGCTTAGGTTGCAGAACTTTTGAAAGGGGTCATGGTGTGAGGGCAAAAGGACATTTTTCCTGATATTTGAGTTTTGGATGGCCAAAGGAGAGTCATTTAGCAAGTGATGGGTAAGAGACGAAAAGATAAGATAAGAAGATAAGACAACATTTTGAAATGTAACTGCTGGAAAGAAAATATGAAGTGTTGACGAGGCTATACAATGAGTGATGAGAGGGTAAAAATACTACAGCAAAAAATAAGGATCAAAAACACAGCAGAAATGTCTTTCAATAGCCATGTTTCCATCCAACTGTCAAGCGGACTGTAATGTTGCAAAAAAGTTTTTAAAAGTAAGGATTTACGTGTGTTTCCATCAGCTGGTTTGGAGCGAATGAACCAGGGGCGAGTTCAGCGTCAACAAAACGTAGCAAAATGTTTTGTTCAATGGAAACAGTGGTTCCCTGAACACCCTGCTGTATACTCAAGCGCACTGCATTTTCCTGCCTTTTTAACACCATTGTGTTTACAAACTTATCGCAGCTGATTGGGTAACACCTGTGACACGCCCACAAAACAGGAGAAAACATACCTTGAAGCCTGTAGCGGAACGTTTCAAGGAAACATGTCGTTCAATCCGAAAACATTGCAAACCGGTGCAAAACGTTTTGAGATTGAACTCGCCCCGGGCTACGGCAATAGTTACATCAGTAGTTGATGTTACACATGGCTGTAATAAACAAGATGTATGTGTTCCAAACCAGAAACGAAACTAGCCGCATGGAACTTATGGCCATAGATCTAAGAAAAATGGAGAGAGGGCCTCAGGAATGTGTTTCAAGCGGGCACACTGCTACCAGCGCTGTCTCTGCAAGTTATGGGAATGTTCAGCAAGACGCAGACAGCAGAAAAAGCTATTCAGACGTGAGTTCCAAGTTTGCTACGTCAGAACTTATTCGCCAAAAGTGTTTCCATCTCCCATTTAGGGCATTAACTCTTTTTTGACCAAGGTAAAAACCACCTCAAGTGAGCGTAAAAACTTTTTGTGCGAAATTAAGCATTTCTTTCAAACTTTGCCGTTTCCATCAACTTTTTCTAATGTGATATTTCAAAATGTGCATAAAAAAGCGTTGATGGAAACACAGCTAATGACACAGCATTCTGACATGACTGAGAAGAGGCTTGGCAACAACAGCAGAACGGTCATGCAACATGAGCGAAAAAAAGACTGACAGGAAAAAAGGATGAAGATATACTCCTGACTAGAGGTTTGGCCCCACACTGTAAAATGGTTGATCTGCTATGCCACCCAGGAGCCTTAATTTGAGACTTAACTCACTTTACTCTTCTTTTTCATCATATGACTGAATGACTTCCGGGTGGAAACCAAAAGTTGTGTGAACAGAATGTGAGGAGGAGAAACCCTGCATCGGGTACATCTGCGATGGTTAGTAAAAAAAATATTCCATTCTAAGAAAGCAGACAGAACGATGTTTTCTGTTTCTTTAACCAGGCCGGTGGAAGAAAGTTGATATACAGAATAATGTTTTCTTCACCAGTCCAATGCAAGTAAATGCACAGACAGACCAACATAACTAAAGCATAGAGAAAATATAAGAGCAGCAGCAAAATATGGAAAGATTAAGGATTACAGAGAAGTTAAAGGGGAAAATAATAGGACACCAAGAGTTTAACAGTATACAATCTGATCTGATGAAAAGATAACTAAAAGAAAATAAAAGTAAAAAAAAAGCTGGGGGAAAAAAGTTGTTTAATGCAAAGTTGAAGCACATTTATTTGCATTAGTTATCCTATGAAAAGTGGGGTCAGAGAGCATATTCACTATCACGTGTAGATTAATGCGGAAGGGTCACAGGTCAATGTTTGGGTTGAAAGACTATGAGGGGAGTAGGGGGAAGGCCTTTCTGGTATAGATTGGTCCGTTAGCTAGCCTTAGCTTCCCGTTAGACTAAACCATTGTCTGATTTACTTGTTAGCTACCCGCAGGGCTAAACCAAGTTCCAACACTGATGTCTGTTAGCCAAGTGTGTTTTCTTTGTCCATATCCCTGCTGGCAAGTTTGCAGTCCATTAGAATATCTGTTTACCTAACAAAGGCAGGAGCATGTTTTCCAGGACATTTTGGTCATACAGTGAACACACAAATCACTTTCATTGTAAGAGAGTTTGCTGTTCTCAGTAGACCCCCAAACATAATCCTTGTGATTTTCAGAGACTGTCGTGGCAGCAATTCAAGAATGGCAAACCAAAGACTATATATAAAGATGGACAACGGGTCTCCACTTCCTCCCACTGTACAAAAATTAGGCCAAAATATCGCAGATACAGCCGCTGCCATCTTGCGCTAGTGACGTCATTTGAAAGCAAAGTCTGCGCAGTAGTGATTGGGGTAGGAGCTGCGGTATTGAGGTCCCGCCCATACACCCGGCTAACTCAATCACGAGCATGGTCAGCTGTCAATCATCATGTGAAATCCCCTTTTTATAGCACAAAATAACTAATTAAAACCAGAATTATCAGAAAAATTAACACTTGAACATACATCAGCATGACAAGAACTACCTAAAATGACAGAAACCATCTTTGGGCGGGGTTTTGACTTATACTGCAGCCAGCCACCAGGGGGTGATGAAGAGGATTTGGCTTTACTTTTGGGGAGCTATCATGTCGTCCATCTTTTTATACAGTCAATGTGTGCAAACAGCTAACGAGAGCCCCAGAGTTAGACTGTCCATTCATGGCCATGAGCGGTCATGGCATACCCACCAGCTAACCTTGTTGGCTTTTGCTTCCTGCCAAGTCATCCATCCTCTTGACTAGCATTAGCTACTGACCAATCCATATTAATTTGGTCGGTGAGCTGGCAATAGCTTCTCACCAAGCTCTAGTTCATGTTGATTCAGTCCTTTAGCTGGCATTAGCTTCACACCGAGCCACAGTCCATGTTGATTTGGTCTGTTAGCAAGCATTAGCTTCCTGCCAAGCTGTAATCCATATATTTCGATCGGTTATTGGACATGGACTTCTCGCCATGCTACAATCCATGTTGATTCAGTCTGTTAGCTGTTATTAGCTTCTAATCAAGCCATCATCCACGATGATACAGTCCGTTGGCTAGCATTAGCTTCAAACTCTAATAGTCCATATGTCCTGACTGTCTGTCAACCTCCCACTTTCAGCTCCAGAGACAAAAGTTACTGGTGGTTTGGCAAGTAGAGCCTTTCTCAGCCGGGGACAGGTAGAGCTTGCCATTAGCGCAGGCACAAAGCTCGTACACAGTCTGTTTGGTGTAGGTAGTACCTGCAGGTGCCCCCTCCAGGGGGTCCACAGCACTGCCGAGGGGAATGCTGCCCAGCCTGATGGTGTTGGCGTCTAGAAAAATCTGTAGGCATAAAAGACAGATGATTTAGGAAACACTGATTTGAGAGCAACTGGTGAGGAACAAAAGAAATAACAAAAAGAAAGGAAAAGAAGAAATACAATAACAATAAAAATATATAAAAAACACGAAAATTAATACATAGAAGTTGATGTTACAGCTGCAGGGTACTTAGCTCTCATGGATTGTCTTGGTGCCTAAAATAACAGAAAAACAAAGGGGGAGAACTCTGTGTTTTTGAAAAAAGAATGAAAAGAAACTGGGGTTGTGGATACAGAGAAAGAGAGAGCACATTGCCGTAAGGGATGACTATGCTTTCTATGGTCGACAGGAGTTGTCATCAAGAAAGATCTACGGAGACAGAGGGGGAATTTCTACTTTAGAACGGGTCTTTTTTGATGAAGAGGCAGAGTGGGAGTGAACGAGGAAGAGGGCAAGAAAGGAGAAGAAAAAAGCAAAGGAATCAGTGGGAGATGAGTGATGGGAAGACGAAGAGGGAAACACACACAAGGGAGATCATGCAGCAAAAACAAATACACACCACAAAGGAAGAGGTTTACAGCAGGTAAGTCAATACAATGTCATACTTTAAATGTAAAAAAAAAAGCCAAATGGATGAGGTCAGTCAACACATTTTAAAAAGCTATTTGAACCTTTTTGGGATCAATTTCTACAAAGAAGTGGCGTTCCTCAAGATAAAATCAGAAACTTGCAAAAATCCTTTCTTAAATTATTTCCAATGCAACTGGATCTTCAAGGTACTTGGAGGAGATCCAAACAGATTGGACTGCAGGGCGGGTCAAGGGGTAGGCTCTTTGACTCCGGCCAACAGATTTAACAGATGATGTGCCCAGTCAAGTTTATCTTACATTATTGCTGGTAAGAAGTAAGTGACCATTTGTCATTGTTTGTTTGTATACTGCAGACACAAACAAACAATGACAAATGGTCACTCACTGACAAAGATAAAAAAAGCGACACTCGCTTTGCATCAATAAGGACAGATTGAAGGAGTCAAGGCTAGATTACCAACTGGCAACGGGTAAAGCAGGAAACTATCCTGGGGTCCAAGATCTTGAGGGGCCCCAGGACAGTTTCAGTGCAAATTATGTTTGGGAATAGGTGCCATTAAATCACAATGTCAACTGAAGGGCATTAATGTGGTGATATTTATCTGATCTGAGCCTTGTACATAGTTTTTTCAATGTAAAAAATAGTTTAAAGACCGTTATTATTTCAGTTGATGTTGTTCTTAAAAGGTCCACGTTCCTTAAAGAGGTCATATTATTCTCATTTTCAGGTTATAGGGGTTTTACCAGAACAGGTTTACATGGTTTCATTTTCAAAAAAACACCATATTTCTGTCATACTGCACATTTCTGCAGCTCCTCATTTCACCCTGTATGTTGAACGCTTCATTTTAGGTATGGAGTGATGCATTTTACCCTTACCAGCTTAGCAATATAGACTGGAGCAAGAGTTTGTGAGTTGTTAATTTGTAACAAATGTATCTTTCATCCATAAAGTTTTAACTGTGCACTGTCTTTACATCACAGTAACTTTATGTTGTTGTTCTTATGTTCCATTGACTGCCTGGAGGGTAGTTAATGTTTGGAAGGATGTCTTGTCACTGTGTGCTGCAGCTCAGTGTGTTTTTGTCCGTGTCGGACTAGTTGCAAGGTGAGCAGGCGCATTTTGCTGTGACATCATAGAGAACAAAAGAAAACAGCTGGATTACAAACGAGTTGTTTTCAGGCAGTCTTATAATGCATGATCTCTTTTTCCAGGGCGACTTGGTAAAATTGCAGAACGTACTGTGGATTAGTTACCACATAACTGGTTAGATACACAGTACTCAGAGAGCAGGTGGAGTGGAGCTTCAGAATAAGAAGCATTTCCTGCACTTCTCTTTTCCCCTCATCCCAATCATCTCTCCTCCTTTCCCCCCATTTCTATCCCCCCACTGGCCTTCATCCCTCCTCCTGACCACTACATGCATTCCTTCAATCCACTCCTCTCATCCTCAGATTGATACAAGCCGAGTTTCAAATGAGAATCATTACACAATCTGGGTTTCTATTGACTGCCTCGCCTGCTTATTTATTTACTCTTCAATCTTCAATGTTCAAGAAAGCGCTGCTCTATTGCTTTCCCTCTCTCTTTCACACACCCAAAGGCCAGACAATAATCTCAGCAGACATCTGTATACCCATTATTCATCTTCTTCATTTTAGAAATGAGGAGAGGAAGTATGAAAAAGTGTGTGGAAAATAGCTATGAGTGCAAAAAGGCAGAGGTAAAAGAGAGAAAGAGACAAATGAGAGGGAGTCGGATGAAAGGATGAGAGAAGGATGACAGAGAGGAAATGTCAAATCAGAAGTGGTTGGAAGAGGATGGGGGACATAAAGAGAGGGAGATAAGATGAACGAAGGAAAAAAAAGGAGAGGAAAGGAATGAGGGATTCGGATATCCCAACAGCGAGGAACCAATTAGTATAACTAATGATTTCACATTGGCTGACAGGGCACATCTCGCTCTGTATAAACAACACCCACACATACAGTACACACACACACTCTCTCTCCCTATCTCCTTCTGCATGATGGAGCAGAGCAAAGGTATGCCGGTGTTGCCTTTAACTATCTATGCAGCTAAAAGCAGTACATCTATTAGCCATTAAGCAGAAGATAGATAGACAGGTAACCAGATAAGTTATAGACTGAGGTAACCTTAAAGATGGTGTCTTCCCTAATAACCCAGATGTAACTCAGTGAGACAGTCAAACTCTAAAATTTGGAGGGGGGGGGGGGTTACAGCAGGTTCTAATCTTATGTTTTCAGTTCTGGTGTCTTCATATGCTCCCTAGATGGGATTAACATCATCAAACAGAGCATGCAGTACTGTAATCACTGAACGTCCCCTAGGGAAACAAATCCTATTCAAAACACAATTTTTCTTAAAGGCACATTACCTAATTACCTATCTAAAAAATGTTGGTGGTAAGCACCATAGCCCTAGTAGTAAAACAGTGAAACTGCAATCAACTAATTTTTTGATAATTTTGGTGAATCTTACTGTATTGTATGTTCAGCTGGATGGGTGAAATTATTTATATAAAATTCATAGTTTATTTATAAAGCTCTCAGAGAGAGCTTGCAGATTTGGCTTGAGCTTCAATCTAATAAATTGCACTAGATGTCGCTGTCATCTTGAACAACTACCTGCTTGACTCCACCTGATGTGCCGCAGCGCATTTAAGAAGGGACTCTCCGCTCTGCTCCGCGGAGAATACATGCCTAGTCTATTTTAGTCAAGCTGCACAGAGCAGATAGAGCTGGCCAGACACAGAACCCTGATCATACCCTGATCATATGTCAACAAACAAAAGAAAACATTTACCTATGTATCCTATTTACCCATGGTAGAAGTACAAAAAATCAAGGCAAAATTAGCAAATCAACACACTATGAGCAAAATCAGGCAGGTAAAAAGCTCCGCTTCGTTGTTGTAGACGCAAAGTTATAGAACCGTGCCCGGTGGAATCAAGGTGTTAGTCTGAACACTAGAACTGCTGTCAACTACAATGATGGATTACCAATCGATGAAAACATTTACCTCAGTATGTGGTCCGTGACTTCTCATATTTTTGTGTATATGGCCCACAATCCAAAATGTTTGGCCACCCCTGCTTTAGTCCCTATAGGAATATTAGAATGATTTTGGAGCTGTCTGCTGATAAGTTTAAATGTGCTCATGTTACTCTAAATATAAACTTGTAGAGCTACTTATGCATTATCTTCACAATAGTCTCTACACAAGATTTAGACAGAAGGTTTTGTTTTAGTTCTGCAGTTATTAAAAAAGAAAACAAAAAACAAAAGACGCAGCATAGTGAGCTTCTTTAAGTCTATTGTGTACAGCTATCTCATTAGCGCACCATGTCCATTGGTTTTAATAAGACATAGTAACATTGACAACAAAACACTTTAAGAGGTAGTGAAAAGTGAATATGTGCACTGCTCTCCCCGGGTGCTGGGCAAAGTAAAATACCACACTACATCTCTAAATGTCAAGGTATACCTTTAACAGGTCCCTGGTGCACACCTGTCATCTTCCCTTTGGCTCCCCAATAAAAGCTGCCAGGGCTCAGTTATAGCCTTACAGAGGAAAGGACTCAGTCACGGTTGGCAACATAACCCAAATCTAATTCCAACAGCCTGCTTGCCATAGCAACGGAAACCTAAAATGAACTCGGGAATGACAATGGGATGGGAACCTAAGGAGAGACGGGTGCATGTTGCCAACGCCAATGAAATTACTGGTTTCTCTTCCATAACATTGGAAACATCACAGCAGCAAACTGAGGGAAGGGAACAAAGGAGGGAGGGAGGGAAGTGAATAGAGTAAATATGGAGGTAGAGGAGATGACAGAAAGAGAAACAAGGAGGGGGGGAGAGGATGCTGATTATGAGATTGGAAAGAGAAGAGGGCAATTAGTAGGTGGAGATGATGGCTTACATGGAGGGATGGAATTAGGAAGAGATCGATAGAATGGCTGCAGCCAATAAGGACAGTAGAGGAGAAGTGCTTGATGGACGGATAGACGAACGTGTGGAAAGAGGGAAGTAGAGGAAGGGGAATGGAAGTCATTTGTTGTAGCTTAAGGTCGGATTACTGCTGGCGTTCATCCCAAATGAAAGTGTCTGTAAGTATTAAGTCGGCCTGATGTTAGCAGTATGTGTGGGTCTGTATACGTGAATGTGTGTGTTATAGAGTGAGTCTGTGTGTAAGCTGTGTGTATGTGATTGCATGTGTTCTACTTTAGCTCTCAAATGTAAAGGCAAAACAAACATTGCCTTTACATTAAGTCTCTTCAGATCCTTTATGGTGCTACCAGCCAGGAGCAAAAGCCTACTGAATTCACATAGTAGGGTGAGCACTTACACATTTTCTCCTTCTATTTTTCTTTTCATTAAATCATTAGCAGCAGATTACTACATAAG